TATAATAAAGATAAGGGCCTTTTTTTTCTTGTTCGTCCTGGGCCTTTGAGAATATTTACTTTTTCAGGACCGACTCTGTTTGTATGAGAAAGTTATTGTCGTTCGAAGTTGAGATGAAAGTACGTTGCTATTCAATAAAGTCAACTAAATTTAAAGTCAAACGGTTAATGGTGGCTCACCGCGACGTAGTCCTCACAAGGATACATGTCAATTAGAGAACGACACGTGGCGGAGCAATGAAATGTGGCAAAACCGAAGAACTCTCCGTCACTGCGGCGCGACACGTCTCTTACCATTATTACGTAAATACGTTTATGTAATATTTATTTCGTAGAGGGTTATTAGACCCAAATATATGTTGCCGAAATTCGTGATATGGTGCTATTTCGAACCCGATGACTAGTTAAATGTTTATTTTGTCAGTAAGGGTTATATACCCTATTTTACTAGAGATTATCTAGTGGGCTAACGACTTACGGGGTTAAGTCGTTAAATAACTTTATTTGGAAATTTATTAGTTGGGTAACAAATGGTTACCGAGTTTAGTTAGTGATCAGGTTATTAATCAATGTGGTTGATATAATGGTGAGTTTAGACAAGTTCTGATGAACTTGATATATTGTCCAAGTAGGTATGGACAAGTGATGGATTGGAAAGCAGTAAAAAACTGGAGATCAGAATCATAGTTAGTCATCACTAACTAACCATGTGAATAACTATACTTTAACACCATATATTTATCGATGTGTATTGTATACAAATATGGGAATTTAATATATTGTGATATGGTTATATTATATATTGTTGAAAGGATATAATACATTAGTATGTTGAAATGAGTTCATGTAATAGTTGACACATAGAATGAAAAATGAACGTAAGATACTTACTTTGGTTGAAGAACTCCCCAAAAAAGGGTGGTTATGATAACGATGAAATATTGGTTAGTACTTTGGTTGAAGAACTCCCCAAAAAAGGGTGGTTATGATAACGATGAAATATTGGTTAGTTTGATAGTGTTGCTACATGATAGTTTTCATACTAAATGAAAACAATAACTAATTAGTAAAATTTTTATTAGTGTATCGTATGTGATGTATATTTTGGGTGATAAATTAAATCATTAAACGATGTTACATGTTGTTATGTTATTGTAGTTGTTATTCACTAAGCCGTATGGCTTACGATGTTTGTTATTGTTGTGTTGTAAGTTAGGTTGTTGTAACGTCCGACTCAGATCATGTACTTGATGCAATACGTTTCCTGATGATAACTTCTTGTATTCCAGTATGATAGTGTACATCGAAATGTTTTATAAAGTTGTTAATAAAAAGGAATTTATTGAGGTGTACCTAGTGTGAAAACCTGGGCGTTACAGATACTAGGCCGAAAAATACCTTGTTTGCAGCAAGATCGAGGACAAAGTAGAAGCATAATTAGATGAGAGGAATAAATGAATGGTTCATTTGGTGTATCTCATTATCATTGAAGTGTTGTATATATACAACAAAATGTAACTGATGTCTTAAACACTGATACGCAATTGTCAAAATTAAAGAGCATAATTAATCAATAAATCAAAAAGCGAAATATATGATTTATTGTCTTTAAAATGAGTTTATAACTGATACAAATTTAGCTATGAAAAATAAAATAATGCAAAGATCCTTAAACTTTTCTAGTCGACTGTAGGTGCGTTCATACAAGTAGGACATGCGCTCGCATAGAAGTTCAGTGGACCTAAGCCAATCTGGTTCGCGTTTGCAACACGTGTTCTGCGGACTGTAACTAAAAACGAAATAGTTATGACAGTTTAAAGAAAAGAACATATTGTTCATAATGTTGAAACAGAAACAATTCAACTTTGGTATCATGTGTTCCGTGATCTATAACTCAATCAATATGTAATCAAGTAACGTGTTTCTATAGTCTAAAATGAAGTACAAACTGTAAACTAGATTTTGAAAAAAGTTTAATGCCTTCCGATTTCAAACAAAAAAAGTTATGATAATTTAAAAAAGAGGACAACTTTGGTATCCTCACATTCGAGGCTGGTCCCAATTTTTTACCTGGAACCGGAGGCACCGAACCGGTTTATGCATGTAACTTGTAACTGATATAAGACAATATTCAGAACCGTAAACCGACTCCCTTGATGAAAACCGGTCCCGATCCGATTCGGTCCAACCAGGCCAATTGCTCACTCGTAAATCTTTACTAAACCGAAAATGAATTCTAGACCGTTTTGAAGTATTAACATTAAGGCAAACCAATATTAAATATTTTCAATACATTTTATATGTAAACTTGTATATAGGACAACTATATGTTAAATATGACATAGATAACCTTTTGTTTGTTAGTAACATGGACAATTTTTATTTTAAAAGTTTAGACTTTAGACTATAAATATCAATTGAATTTGATATATCTTTTTAATGATCTGACAAACCAAACGAATAAAAACAGATTTGGTTTAGTTACATTAACATTGGAGCTAGACATCAAATACAATGATAAAAATAGATAAAGTACAAAAAGTTCAAACCATCGTATTTAAAATAGAAAAGATATACATCAACCATTTAAATTATATAATATTTAAGCCTATCAAACCAGTCAAATTATTTTGTTAAACCAATTTACTTAGAAATTTAAATAATAATTTATACACCTTTTTTTTGCATACGTATTCAATCAGAAAAGAGGAAAAATAGGAAGTGAGGTCCAGCAAAATAGAGGCACAGGTTCCTTTTCACCATTAATTACCATGGCGTTAGTATTTACCGGTGACAGGTAAATTTTCATGACGAACGGTGAGGCGCAAAAATAGATCGATTTGGAGTTTTCAGTTTTGGACTCCCGCCACATCTTATATCGAAGAAGCAGTAAAACCCTACCAACCAGACACGTGTCGGTATCCACCTCTTCTAGTCATAGTAATACTCCCTACAACATCTCTTTTCCCACACTCTTTCTCTCTCTACACATTACCCCCTTCCTTCCTTTTTTCTCTCTCTCCCTCCCTCTCTCTCTCTAGAAATCTTCGGACTCCATCGACAGATTCCTCCATATCGGATCCAATTTCTATTCCATTCCATTCCTTCCATGTCATCTGCATTCATTCGATAGAATACCGACGCTAAAGGCGATTTGATTAATTCGATCCACGGACACTGGCTCTGTTGTCTCTCTCTCTCTCTCTCTCTCTCTCTCTCTCTCTCTCTTCAAACTCTGTCGATTGGCGTTCGTTTGGAGTAAAAGTTCGGGTTTTTTGGTATTTCAATCAGGTTGTGTTCTTCCACTTGTTAATTTGTTTGATTCCGTTCTTTCGGATTGGTTTTTGTGTTGTGGTTACGTCAATTTAGGTATCGGTTTTGAACGTTAGGGCGTTATTATTCGTTGATTCTTTATTTGTACAGTGTTCGTTTTTAATCATCTCACGCGGTCTATATTTTGTATTATAGCTGATACAAGAAACTCTGTGAAATTTTGGCGCGTTGTTTTAGTTTGCCCCCAAAATTGAGGGTTTTCTTGTTAATATCTTACGTATGTTCTACTTTTGTTAACTTTAGGTATAGGTAATCATCCCCAAAATAAAGAGTTTGAAAAATAAAACGATTAAAAAAATCAGCGACTTCTTCCTCTTTTCCTATTTCGTTTTGTCATTTAGTTCGTCTCAGTTTCCTTGATTTCGGTTTCATCTCCGGCGAAATCACAACTTCTTATTAGGGTTATAGAAAATGGCATTGAATTTTTCTCAGCGTCCGATTTTCCCTGCTCATACGTCGGAAGACAATTTGGTTTCACCACTGAGAATGGTGAACGGTGGGTATGGTGTTGAAGGCATGTCGGATAAAGGGGGAGATGCTTATGGAAAGCCAAGACATGGTCATGTTCATGGAGAATTACATGATCGATTCAGCCATGGAAGAGAGATAATCGACAAGAGTGGCTCACCAGATTCTGTATCAAAAGATATCATTGACATGTTGCCATCTGATCCATTTGGCATGGATATTGACATCAGTACCACTTTTACCGCCATTACAGGATGGCTGGGTGATTTGGAAATGGATTATGGCGAATACATGAGGAACAGAATCACAAATCACAAGGAAGATTACGGGCTATTTGCAGGTTTTAATTTCTTTTGGAGCAGTGCTATGAGGTTCCAATCTTTTCCTACCAATTTCATGTATCAAGATAAATGTCCTACTTCTACTCCTACTCCTACTCCAACATCATATACGATAGTTGATCAACACAATGTAGATGTCATAATGTCTTTCGATCATGGGAGTCCAAGTGTTCTTGTCCCAAAATCAGAAGAATTTGTAAATATTTCGTCATCTTGTCCTGATGTTATTGGAGGAGAACCTCACGAGGCTTTTGTTCTAGCTCTTAGTTATCTTCAAACTAGAGACCTTTTATTGGTGGAACGTGTTTGTAGATCTTTATGTTCCACCATTCGTAACGATTCTCTTTTATGGAGAAATCTTCACATTGATCAGCCATTGAATGAGAGAATCACCGATGACATTCTTGTTCAGTTAACCAATAGGGCTGAAGGTAATCTACAGTGTCTCAGCTTAATAAAATGCCCCAAAATCACTGATGATGCTCTCAAACGTGTTCTCAAAACCAATCCAAAGTTAACCAAGGTAAACAATTATTTAATCTTCTTTCAACCTTTTTTATTGTAATTCTATTCCAAGATTTTATGGAATTCAACTTTTTTAATTTTTTGTTTAGTTATCTGTTCCTGGATGCACAAGACTCACAATCGAGGGAATCTTAAACAATCTAAAATCCTTTAATTCAATTGCTGAATCCGGTGGAATTAAACACATAAGAACAGGTAGCTTTTATGGAATAACACTTGAACACTTTGAAGAATTGAAACAACTTTTGGGAATTGAGAAAAACGATCACGATAATGATCTGAATCCGCGTTATTATCATCGTGGGAATTTGTATTCAGAATCGGATGATGATCGAGCAATAGATGTTGAAGTGTGCCCTAGATGTCAAAATCTGAGGCTTGTTTACGATTGTCCAGGTGACAGCTGTCAAGAAAAGAAAGATGAATGTCCTGATTTTTGTAGGGCTTGCATAATTTGCATACCTCGGTGTTGTGAATGTGGGAGGTGTGTGCACAATAGTGAGTATGAAGAAACGTTTTCATTGGAGTATCTTTGTTCAGAGTGTTTGAAACAGCTGCCACGTGGCTAGTCTAGTTAGATACGTGGCATATGGGATATGACAAGTTTGGAATCTTATGAGGCCAGGTGATGATGTCATGATGGTTAATTGGGCTTGGGCTTGGGCTCTTCGGTTTGCACGGGTTTTTTTTGAACCGGTGATGTGGGATGTGGTTAGGGGACTGGTTTGGGCTGTTGTGAGCGGATTGGGCTGGCGTGGGTCATTTTAGGGTTTGAAGGTTTTAGACCCTTTTTTATGATTTCATCATATCATTTCATGTTATGTTTTATTTTTGGTTTGTAGTTTGATTATGTTGATGTTGGGGTTTTAATTTTACTTGAAATGTTCATTTATGATTGGGGACGATGTTTATTATATTCAGTTTTAGAAATGTTCACAAAAGTGCTTGTCAAGAAGTTAAGAGGTTTCAGTCGTGATTTTTTAATTTTGTGGAGATCGTTTTTATGAATATATTTTATTGTGGTTTTGGTTTTTTAAGTTTGCATCTGATTCGTGTTATAATGGTTTCTTACCTTCTATTTAATAACGATATTTTTATTCAAAATAGAAGGTTAGCATGAGGACTAAACTGACCAAAACGAAACAAATTTATAAGGATAATTTATGTAAAATTTAAAGTTCTAAGAACACAAGGATTATATTTTTTTACCAAAAGTTTATTGCTCCGGTCATTGGTTAGTTTTGACCGTTTATTTTTGTTTCTAAATTTAAATAATTTATTCTCATATTCTTTATAATGCTTAATGTAACGAGGTATGCAATTATGCGGTAAAAAATATAATAGCGGTTACCTGTTCTTATTTGAAATCGCGGCTACTATTTGTAATCACAATGGTATATCGTTTTTGTTATATATATA